GCAACTTGCAGTTGCAACAGGTAAAGTCAACGCCAACTTCAGAAGCATGTAAACTAAAGGATAATAAGATGAATACATTTATAATAATAAATAATTTCTGGTATAATGAATGGGTGTCCTCTATAATCATTAGAGCGGTGTGAGAAATTTCGTATTAAATTTTTTTGTACAAAAAAAAATATAGGTACTTTACAAAAAATTCGGGCGCCCGACACTCCTAGGCAACACGTAGATCCGCCCTTGATTAAGACCACTCTCCCACGAAGAAAATGTACATGCACTATGTTAGCTCGAGTCGAGACCCGGCCCCGGCCCCGGCAGCCATATCAGCGAGAACATGGATACGCGATCCACGATCTAAGTAACACAAGCGACGCCCATAATTCCCGGCCGGTCTTTGAATTCGGGTTTGTTTTTCCGGTAGCTAGCTTGCTAGAGTAGAAACAAACAAGCAAACAAATAGGATTTTGTGATGATGATGATCAACTTCTTCCATACCTAATTCCCATGTCGTTTTATGCATGCATTCCAACAGATTTTCTCACACTGAGAGCGGACGGGGCAAAGCCCATATGTCTGCCTGCCGCCCCCACTTCTTAGCATGGCCATGAAAGCGTATCGTACCGGCAGATTAACCACGAAATATTAGTATTGGAGGTTAAATCGGTAGGCGGTATTTAACGGTCTAACGGTCGAACTACGATTAAACCACAATTTTATCATAAAATATTATACCGCTGACTTTTTCCAGTACGATATCCGGTACGGTTTCGTGAATCATGCTTCTTAGTTACTGCTGCTGCCTTTGCTTTGCACCTCCCACGATGGTGCACATGCTGCTGCTGCTGCAAATATATATCGTCAATGGGGGCCGGCCGCCATGTTCATGTGCTCACTCCACCACCCTCAACACGAATCGCAATCTACTGGCCCATCCATTCAATAAAAATATATATATATATATATATATATACAAATAATAGGTGCACATCAGAAAATCCAAATTAAATAAATGGTCGTGATGAAAATAAGTAAGTTACGAAAATAAGAAATGAGAGGCATTAGTCCATGGTAAATTTCCATTTTATTTCATCAATTGACGCGAAGTTATTTCGTCAATACGATCATATGTTAGAGAGTGGTATAAGATCCAGCATAACCTTCTTCCAACAACTCGAGTTATTGGAATCAACTAGGGGTGGGAAACGGTGCGGTCCGGTCCAGACCAGACCATGGACCAGACCATATACTATACGGTCCAGACCAGACCACACCTGTGCGGTGCGGTCCGGTACGGTCTGGACCAGACAGACCATGTTAAAAAAAATTAACTCTTGTTCGCCCTCAAACCCTTCGCTGGTATCTATAAAAAAAATCTAGTGACCAATATGCTAGTGAAACAAAAAAAAATTGTGATCGTATTAAATGAGAAGAAATATGAGGATAAAAGTGTGTTTTTTCAATTTTCAAATAGCCTTATTTCCCTATTCCTCTTTGTGCTACCGCTTCTCTCCTCTCTCGAGTGATCCGAAGGTTCTCCCAGTTGATAACCTTTTTGATGACGTCGAGGTAATTTTGAACCACTAAGATGGTCGCATATCTCTCAATAATTTTTCTTATCTCATCAAGGTGAACGCTTTTTTTTGTAGTATTTAATTTTTATCGACTCCATAGTCTAGACATTATCTGTGAATATTATTTATGAGTCTTTATGATTTTTGTGTGGTACTTTGATAAGGAGATAACGTATAAGCGATCATTTTGCAATTTGTTGGCTCTCAACTAGATGAAGAATCAACTAACTTTGTTCTTCAAATACACATATGGAGGTTCAATTTAGTGTTATTTTTGTCCAAGGTAGTAGGTAGTGTGTCGCGGTCTGTTACGGTTTACTGCGGTAGACCGCGGTCCAGACCACTTCAGACCACGCACTAAAGGAGGAGACCGCAAACCAGACCAGACCATAGTTCTGGTCTCACGGTCCAGACCAAACCCTACGATACGGTCTAGACCGCGGTTTCCCATACGGTTTGGTCTGGATTCCCAGCCCTAGAATCAACTGGCTTGCCAAGTGGTCGTGTGTTCGAATCTCCACGACCCCCAATATTAACCGTTGTCTTCAAGAATATAGTATGATGGGTCTGTGCAAACTTTAAACTCATGAGTTGGCTTTCGTTTGAGGGGGCGTGTTAGAGAGTGATATTATGTCCACGAGAATAAGCTAAGCATGATCTCAAAACAATTTCTACAAGGTAAAAAAAACTATACAAAACGTGCCTACTCAACAAACAAACTTTACATGAGACTCTCAAGTGAACCATAATGTAAGAGCTTGTAAGGCCCCTGCCAACAACCTTCTCCAACCTTTTTCCATCTGCCCTATTTGACGATAACAATTTTTAGGCGTAGTGTTTTGACTAATACCCATTTTTTAATAAGATGATTAGCTAGTGGCCACCGCATGTTGGAGCTTCTTCTCCCTTGCCATTATATAATAGGGTAGTATACTATAATACTATAGGAATCCATATTTAGGGGTCGTTTGGTTTTGGTGATACTTAAATCAATGCATTGTGGTCAATGTATGCATTGTAATATACAGATAATTAAGGAAAATGATATAATGTACTTTACATTGTTTGGTTTTGGTGATAGTTCTTTTAGTATTCAACATGTTATTCTACTTTTTGTGAGAAATGTTACTTTTGCCCTGACTTTTATGAGAATATATATACTAAAGGTATACTTGGAACAAAAAAAGAAGGGCAATGTCTATTTTTTACCCAAACCTTTTTCAAATTCTTTTATTTTAACCAAACCTATAGAAATTCTATTTATTATCCAAACGTATTATACTTTATCAAAGTCCGGGCATTCATTCTGTTACCGTTACTTATTTCGTCCACATGAGGGGTGGGATTTTGTTTTGTTTTTTGATAATCTTTTTATTAAAAATAGTAAATGATGGTATTATGACCGGTCACGTAGGAAGTCAAGTCATTATGGTCATACTTAGTCAGCATTACTAACAGAAAAGTTGACGGAGAGTTAACGTTTGGATAATTTTTAGGAATTCAATAGGTTTGGTAAAAATAAAAGAATCTGAAAAAGGTTTGGGTAAAAAATAGACATTGCCCAAAAAAGAACCCAACAATCTTCTCAAAACTATCTCAACAATCTCAAGTTTTAGTAGAGATAGAACAATCACTCATTTTGAGTGATAGTTTCCATCGCATCAAACAAACAATGCATCTATTGTTTTTAGAGGGGAAAAAAGATGCATTGAGAACAATATATGAATTGCAACTAACTAACTATACCAACCAAACTATTACCAAAACCAAACCACCAGTTAACCTCCACCGACAGTTCTCCCGTCCCCTGGCCCGCGGGTCACCTTTCCAAATTGAAAACTTAGAAAAAGAAATTGTGTATTAATAAACATCCATCATTGATCTGCACTCCACACTCTATATAGGCTAAAGTTAATATGCTAACTTGAAAATTCGTTAGCAGATACTAACTGATATCCAAAATACATGAACTAGTATCCAAGTACTAAAGTATCTAGAGAGCACAGACTAGTATTTAAAATTTACTAACTGATATCCACCATGAATCAACTATTATCCCAAATTCACAAACTAATATCTAGACAACACAGAATAGTATCCATACAACACATAATTAGTATCCAGATAACACATAAGAGTATCCAAATAACACATAAGAGTATCCATATTGAATACTAGTTGGTTGATTGTGGATATTAGTTGGTATCTGCTATCTGGATACTAGTTTGTGATGTTTTGAATACTACTTTGTGCTATCTAGATACTCAGCAAACTTGGATATTAGTTCATACATTTTGGATATTAGTTAGTATATACTAACGAATTTTCAAGTTAGCAGAATAACTAGGCTGATATATATATATTGCTTATCCAAAGATTTTTTTTTTTTTGATGACAAGGAGACCCGAGGGCCAAAGAAGAAGAAAATTACAGGGGGGTAGGGGTGATCTGGGGGGAGGGGATGATGCGCCTAGTGAAAGTCACACCTCTAGCATCATCAGAGATAAGCGGGATAGTTCCGTCCGGCGGAGAGGCCAGCTCATACATACCGTAGGGATAGACGAGACTGTGCTTCGAGAGCCAGTCCGCGACTCTATTCCCTTCGCGGTATGTGTGAGCTAGTCTTACCACCCAATCCTGAGCAATCAATCTTCTAATAGCAGCAATAAGGGTCGAGTAGGGGTGAAGAGGATCAGATCTGTTGATCACCAGTTCTAGAGCAAGGCGCGAGTCAGATTCGACCAGGATAGTTCTGTGTCCACTTCTCCAGGCGACCTCAAGGCCATGATACAGTCCCCATAGTTCTGCCGCTGCAGCAGTGCAAGTTCCCAGGCTAGAGACGAAGCCACAAATCCATCGGCCGACATCATCGCGGAGCACCCCCCCCCCCCGCGCCAGCCTTCCCCTGGCTACCTGTTGCAGCACCATCGACATTTAGCTTAAACCAACCAGGGGGCGGCGGAGACCACCCAATCTCAGCTGCAACTCGCTGCTGCCCGCTGTTGCCGTTGCCGATGTCAAAATGCGGCGAGTTCCAGGCCTCGAACCACAGCTTCGCCTTAGTCTTGACTGCGTTGGTGAGGGAAGGGGGAGAAAGGGTCTTTGAAATTCCTTGGAAGCAGCCTTCGTTCCTGTTCTTCCAAATCAGCCAGAGAGCAATGGCAAAAAAGGCGTTCCAAGGCATGCCCATACTCGTGGAGTCTTCGTTGGAGAGGTTATTCTTCAACCACTCTGCGGTTGGGCTGCTGAAGAAAGTGGGCTGGTCTTCCGGCTTCACAAATCTTGTCCATAAGAAGGCTGCTGCTGGGCACTCCCTGAATATGTGGGTAAGAGTCTCCGGGTGATTCGGGCATTTGTAGCAGTCCGCCGACTCAGAGATTTGACGCTGATGGCGAAGGGAATTGGTGCTGATTCTACCAAGCATCACTAACCAGGCAAAGCATCGCTAACAAGGTCGATGTGTCTTCTGTTCCCTCCATACTTGCTTCGCATAAGTTGAACCCAGAGAGTGTCTTTCTCATTTAGCAACCGCCAGCATCCTTTGGTCAACATGGCGAGATTGGCGTGTCTGGTGGATCGCAGTCCTGCTCCTCCATTTTCTTTAGGCTCCAAGAGATGAGGCCAGGAGACGAGATGAAGCTTCTTTTTGTCTTCCGTGTCCCCCCAAAAGAAATCTCTGTTGAGACGGTCAATAGACTTGCAAATGGAAGCTGGAAGGAGCTCCATCTGCATAGGATAAACAGGAATAGCAGTAGAAATCGATTTAACGACAGTCATTCGGGCAGCAAGAGAGAGATGCTTAGCTTTCCAAGGAGCCAGCTTCCTTTGGATACGCAAGATCAACTCTTGGTATCTTGCTTTGCTGACTCTGCCATGAATAGCATTCACACCCAGGTATCTCCCAATATCAACCGTCAGCGGGATTGAGGCCCTCCTGCTCAGCCACCTAGCTCGACGCCTTTCGATGTTTGCCGAGACGAAAATGGCGGATTTGTTGTAGTTAACCCGTTGTCCGGAGCTTTGGCAAAATTCGTCCAGGCATTGCTTCACAATTCTGATCTGAGAGCTCTCCGCCTCTGCAAAAAGCACCAAATCATCGGCGAAAAAAAGGTGAGATAGAGCCGGGCCATCTTTGGATAACCTGATGGGTTTCCATAGCTTATCTCGGATGGCCTGGTCAATTCTGTGAGATAAACGTTCCATACAAAGGATGAAAAGGTAAGGAGAGAGGGGGTCTCCCTGGCGAACTCCTCTAGATGGAGTGATCGGAGGGGAGAGCTCTCCATTCCATAAGAGCCGCATGTTGTTCTTCTCGACACAGTACATGATGCAACTGATCCATGTACTTGGGAGCCCGACTTGAACGAGAGTATCTCTAAGGAAATCCCATCTCAGCCGATCGAAAGCCTTCTCTAAGTCTATCTTGATGACAACCCCTCCCTTCTTTCCTTTCCTTTTTCTGAGCGAGTGGAGGACTTCCTGAAGAACGATAATGTTATCTGCTGTCTGCCTGCCGGGGATGAAACTACTCTGGCGGGGGGAGATGAGATGCTTCATGATAGGCTTCAGACGGTTGGCGATCGCTTTGGTAATGGCTTTGAGGCAGACATTATTCAGAGAGATCGGACGCAGCTGAGACACCATCTCGATATTCTCCACTTTGGGGATGAGCACCACGGTCGAGGCCACGGCGCTGTCCGGGAGAGTACCTGTGGAGAAAAAATCCATAGCCATGTCGATTAAACTTTTACCCACTGTCCGCCAGGCTTTTTGGTAGAAAATCGCTTGGAAGCCGTCCGGGCCGGGAGCTTGAAGAGCTTTCATCTCATGGATAGCTTTGTGAATGTCAGATCCTTGGAAGGGCCGAAGGAGCATCAACAAGTCCTCTTGGGAAAGCCTGGGGAAGGCATTCTTTGGCATAAGATCCGAGTAATCAGCAATATCCTGCGTGTACAACAAGGTAAAGAAGTCAAAAACCAATGCTGCAAGATCATCGGGATTCGAAATCCATTCCCCATTTGCTGCCTTAAGGCTCCCAATTTTGTTCCTTCTTTTCCTGATGGAAGCTTGTTGATGAAAGTAGGCAGTATTGCGCTCTCCATAGTGCACCCACTGCTCCCTCGATCGCTGGAACCATAATAGTTCCTCCTGCGCAAGAACCGCATCGAGCTCGGCTTCGAGTTTGGCCTGTAGCTTCAAGAGGCCTGGGGAGAAGAAGTGGCTGGCCTTGTTCTGGATTCCTTGGATTCTCTTCAGAAGTCTTCTTTTCTTCTGGAAGATGTTGCCAAAGGAGTTCCTGTTCCAGAGCTTCAACCTCTCACTTAAGGACTCAAGCGCTTCCGGCAGGGGAATTTGGGGGTTCCAGTTACCTGTGAGAAAGTCAGAAAAAGAATCAGAAGTAAGCCATGCGGCCTCAAAGCGGAAAGGGCGGGAAGGATTCTGGTTGACTCCCTGATTTGTAACCGTGGTAAGCAAAGGATGGTGATCAGAGTGGATGCGGGGAAGATAAGTAACGGTAGAATCAGGGAAGAGGATGTTCCAGCCATCATTACACAGACTTCTATCGATGCGGCTGGCTTTATACGTGGAAGCTTGATCGCCTCTGGTCCAGGTAAACTTGGGCCCCGTAAAACCGAGATCGATGAGGGCTGCTTTGTTTATGCGATCGTTGAAGACCTTGCAGCTCCGAAGAGTGGCCGCCGAAGCAGGCCCAGATTTCTCTTCCGGCCCCCTGATGGAGTTGAAATCTCCGGTGAGGAGCCAGGGGAGATCATTCGTCTCGCTGATGCGTTGAATGGAATTCCAAAGGTGTTGCTGGAGGCTCCGGCGCGGGGAGGCATAAACGGCAGTAATTAGGAAAGGCTGACTAAAACCAGTGGAGACCTTAACCGAGAGGTGTTGGAAGCAAGCCGAGGTGAGCTCCACAGTGAATCTGTCGGATTTCCAACAGAACCAGATGCCTCCACGGCGGCCGTCAGCTTCCACGCGCATAATGTGGGGAAAGCCGAGCTTCCCACAAACCCTGTTAGCCGAAATCCCGCTCACCTGAGGTTCCAGCAAAATCAGAAAATCAGGCTGATTAGTTTGGATAATGAGCTTCAAGGCGCGGATAAAATGGGGGTTTCCAGCGCCACCAACGTTCCACGAAAGAACCTTAAAATTCACAAGATGATTTATTGACATAAGGAAAAAAGGGAAGAAGAGGGCAGAAAGACGGGTCGGAGGATCAAATCCCGGCCGCCGGAGGTTGAGTCGAGTCGTGGCGCTTGATGGGTTCTGGTTCAGGGGCCGCTTCAGAAAGGGCTGTCGGGGGTCCCTCAACTTGGGGTTTTGAGAGGCCAGTCCAAGCTTCAATTTCCTGGAGAGTGAGAGTTGCGATGCGCTTTCGACTCTTACACTTCTTCTCCTTCGTCGGGGTCCAAATCTGGACGGCCTTAGCAGCGGCCGGAACCGGGGTTCCTCTCTTCGTATTTTGTTTTCGCCCCTTCTGATGTTTAGTCCTAGATGCCGCTGAAGGGGAGTTTCGATCGACATTCCGGCGGGGGGGGGGGGGGTCTGATACGGGGGGATCTCCACGATATGGATGGAGGTCGAGTTAGGGCCGATGATCGTCTGAGTGCTTGGGGGTGTCGGGCCGGTTGGAGTCGGCTTATTGGAAGGGTCGGGCTTCTTGACTGTGTCCGGATTGATTTTGGGTTGGGGGATCTGAGTTTCGGGCCGTGCCAGCTGTTGGGCCGAGCATTCGCCTGGTCCAGAGACCTTCTTGGCTTTGTTCAAAGTGGGGGCAGGCCCAAGGACGCCTTTGGAGACTTTCGCTGTGGAGTCTTGCGGTATGATCTTTGCTTTCCCCTTATTAATATTTCCCTTTTCCAAACTCTTGCTCGGAGGCTCATCTGCCCGTTGGGATCTCATAATGGAGTCAGCCGAGATAGTTTCCTTTCTCTTCTCCAAATCCTTTTGTGGATCGCTTCCTTTCCCATTTTTGGTTGGCGACAGATGGAATCCTCCGTGATTTGAGTTTCCCTGAATATTACTCGCTCTTTCCTTTTCCGGTTGTCTGCCATTACGCCGCGATCGGCGCGTGACCTGCATCCAAGGTCCGAAACCAACCTTCTCCTCCGGCGAGGTTTCCGATGTAAGATCCGGCGCCAGCGTTTGTATGCCAGCCGGAGAAGAGGCCGACTTGATTGAAGGGCAAGTAGTGGAGGTGTGACCTATCCTTCCGCACTCGAAACAGACCACTGGGAGGTTCTCATATTCAAGGTATTGCCAGGCTCCGTCCAACCAAATACGAGGGACCAACGGCTTTCCTAAGTCTACCTCCACTGCAATTCTGGCGAATCTAGCTCGTTGTTGATGTTCGGTGTGGTAGTCAAGTTTGATGGCACGCCCAATCAAGTTCCCCAGCATGAAAAGGACCTCCTTGTGGTAGAAATGTATCGGGAGAGCAGGGAACTGGACCCAGACGACCATCAGCTTCGGGAGGTCCTCGGAAAGACGAAATTCCGGTGTCCATTGTTGCACTGTTAGGTAGTGGTCAAAGATGGTCCAAGGGCCATCTGTAAGAGCTCGAAAGTAATCGAGGTCGTTGCTTAACCTGACGAGAAAGGCCTCCTTTCCAAGTCCTAGAATTTCCATTCCTCCAGTCGGTCGCCATTGGGATCTCAGCTTATTGCTGAACGTCGTGAAAGAGACGCTGAGACCCAATAGACGCACAACTAGAGTGCGTTTCCATGGAGCACACAATTTGGATTTGAAGCCGCCGGAGACTTGGAGGGCTGGCTCCCCGTTATGGAGAGTGGGAATCAAATCATGTTCACAAACCGGTGTCCAGGTTACCAGAGCCTTCTGGTTTTCATTAGGATTTCCAGCAACTACGTTGGCATAGGAGACTGGGGGAGATCCCGTGGCCGGGATGGGAGCTAGACGCGGTTGATCAATGACCATGCTTTGTGATGAGGCGACGTCTTGCGATGGTTCCTGGTGCGCGGGCAGAGGCGAAACTTGTGTGCTTGTTTCTGTCGGAGCTGATGGAGCGGTGGGCGGGTCTGGAGGTCTCCCGGAGGGGGTGAGCTCCGTCGCCGTCCGAGGGTCATTTGAGAGCATCGTTGATACCCGCCTAATTTTGCCGTTTGGGGTGTGATAATTAATAGTATTGATTAGAAGTAATTAACCAGAGGAATTTTATAATGCTACGTAGGTAGTAATGTTCTTATGTAAAAATTGAATTTGTCTCGTAACGTGCAAAATTTGTGTGTATTGTAAAGAATTTTTACAAAAAGTATAAATTGAATTTGTACCACAACGTTAGATATATATTCAGTTTGAAAAATTATGACAAAAATATATGTACAAACCGAATTTGTACGGTTAAATGTGCACATTTAATTTGTATCTAACCGATTTGAGGCCGGCCTGTGTGCATTCAATAGAACAAGGACGGCTGCAATGGTACATGGTGTTCATGGCCCTTCTATATTTGGGACCGTAGCCCTGAATCACGTGCAATTGAAAGCCTTTGTATTAAAGGTGGTTATACGGTCCAGTCCGGTTAAATTGACGCGAAGTGATTTGGTCTCAGTCCGGTTTTTTCGAGAATATAAGGACCAAAAATTGGATTGGATACAGTCCGGTCTTGATCCGGTCTGGTCCCAATTTGGTTTTTATTTTAGATTGAGCTTGTGGGGATTTGAGTGGCCTGAGGGGGAATTTGAGTGGCTTAAGGCCTGTAAGGGTGAAGAGGTTAAATTTTGGATGTTGGGCTCTCTTATCCGGTCGGTCTCAAATAATTTTTTATCTCAAATCTAGGCCCAAAAATTGAATTGGATTATTTGCTATCCGGTCCCGATCCGAACTTGGTCCGGATTATACAATCCAAATTTAAATAAAACCAAAAAAAACCAAATAACCAGCCCTACTTTGTATTATATAATATCTGCCCTTCACCCACTCCACCACTTTCGATCGACTGATCTCCTTACTCTGTGGACTTTGCTCTTCTTTTCTTTTCTTTTGGACCCATCGTCCTTTTCCTTTCCTTTTACAAATTTTCTAGTGTACACAGAATGTGACGGGCACGATTATTTCATATCTCTGCCTCTCAATCAGACTGGTTATACATTGATCTGTCCCATTATTAATTGGATATAGGGTAAAAGAGTTTGTGTAAATTACTTACGTTCGATCATACACCACAAAATTTCAATGTTTCATATCGTTTCCAAGTTATAATCGCGATTTAAAATTTAAAATCTTGTACTTTTATATTTTTAGATTAGTAAAATATTTTAATGAAGAATCATACTTTTCACTTATAAGTCAAAATCAACACTTTAAAACTGAATTTTTTTATGTTTTGACTGCACGATAGCATAAAATTACATATTTTATATATAAAGCCATCCGCATAAAATTATTTATAATCCTCATCTATATATATGTGGAGGAAGATTGCCTATAAAACCCTAATATAATCATAGCTACTAGCACTTGCGGAATATGTCGAGATATTTTTATTAGAAACTACAATACCTCTCCATACATACCTTCGTACGTATGAAATTGAACTTCCTTAAAGAACCAGATTCTGACACTATTAGATAATATCTATGGAAGTTCCAAGCTCATTGCAAAATATACGGGAAAATGCCACATTTGGTTATTGGGATTGCTAAATCGTGTTATATTTAGTCACTAAAAAAAATAATATCAATTTTGGTCACTCGAATTACTGAAACTGGCCACATTTAGTGACTCTCCGTTAGACTTCGTCCAACTCTATTAACAGAGGCCGTTATGTGCTGACATGGCTAAGGGGAGCGTCTGGTCGCTGTTTTGGATCGGAAATGGTCAAACCCGACTTGCCAGGTCACTAAACCCGCCATGTTATATACCCAACCCAATCCATGAACCCAACCCGACCCAGAACCAAACCCGAGCCCACTTAACAAAACAAACCCGCCATCTCTCTCCTCCAACCTCATATCCCAATTCCCTTCCTCAGCACGCTCGAACTTCATCAATGGCGTCTTCTCCAAACCCTTCCCTGCAAACCCAACCCCTCTCATCCTCTCACACCACTTCTCCTTCCTCTCGTTCCGCATCTCCCCACCTCCACCTCTCACAAGCGCCCTCGCCACTTCCCCTTTCGTCGTCACATAACGGAATAGGCGCTCGGGTCGGGTTTGACCAAATGGCAAGTTTACTGTCGTGGCGGGTCGGGTTTGACCATTATCGACCCAAAAACGGCGCTGACTAGGCGCTCCCGTTCCCCATGTTAGCACATAACGTACTTTGTTAATGGAGTTGGACGGAGACTAACGGAGAGTGACTTAATGTGATCTGTTTTAGTAATTCGAGTGACCAAAACTTATATTATTTTTTTTAGTGACTAAACATGACACGATTTAGTAATCTCAGTGACCAAATGTGACATTTACCCCAAATTATTCTATAATCCGTGTTGGAATATATTCAAGTGCATGCATATATGCAAGAGTGTTCTTGTCATCTTTGTAAAGAAAATATCAGTCAGTCTTCACATTCCAGCTACCTATAAATAGGATTATACTTAAAATAACAACGTAAATTTTTTTACCATTGGAAAAAGTATCCTTTTGTCACACCACATTTTGTAACTGTCGAGCGAGATCAAATTTGTGGACCACATGCTGCAATTTTATGCGTCAAACCGCTAGGCTGTCTTATCATTAACAGGTGCTACTCCAAGGATCATCGCTCTCAGGACCTTGTCTGAGACGATCCACCAGCTAAACTAGCCTTGTTTTGCAGCTGATTGAACTAATTACCTAAGAATGAAAGGGGAAGTCCCACCATGCATCAAACCCACGATGGCAGCTTACTAACAAGATGTTCATCATATTATCTCATCTCATGATGTTGGTTAAATACATGTTGCCATGTTCGGTTAGTTTGCTACGACAATATTAGGGTATACAGTTTAATGGAAAAACAGTATATACGTAATAATTTATATATAGAACTCTTTCAAGAGTATGATGGGTAGATCGATTTAGGTTATTGATATTATTGAAGCCTTGTTATCCTCCCTGAACTGAACTTCACTTATAGCACATATCCAAACCGTATTAGATTGCTTTCGCATATCAACAATTTGAGGGGTAGAGGCGGTATAGGTTACTGATATGATAGCATCAAAAGTCATAACATAAGAACACTTTTGATGTTATTATACTAGCTTCTTCAGTCCAGTCACAAAAATAAGTGTATATAATGTACTCAACTTTAAACGTAGTCTTAAAATATTAGATTTTGTATTTTAATTGATAATATTAGTGTGATATGATGATATAGCATAGAATCAGAAGTAATCAATCTATTTCTCTATCCCTAACCCCCCAAAAAATAAACTCTAACCCTAAATTCCTAAACTCTAAAAACTTCAAGTCAAAGTAAATCTTGAATAATTCTGTGCAAATTCGTGTGTTTTCTTGTCCATCATATCACTAGTGACGATTGACATCGTTTTGACATGTATTGCCTTTTCATAATGATAATTATGAGGCAAGTGCATTGATTGCAAAAAAAACGTGAGTGCATCAAAGACAACCCCCCCTCCCCCCTCACACACATATATATACATGGGTCAGATTGGTGTACTCCTAGAATATATATATATATATTACATCTACTCATAGTGAGATATCTTTATGTGGACCATAAATTAAACCGAGTTTGGGGTATGATACTATATCCTAACCCAAGGTTGTCAACCCGCGGGTTGACCCGGACCCGGTCGAGCTAGTGGGTGAAGGGTTAATGGGTCAACCATTTTAGCCCGGTTTGGCCCGGAAATATAGAAAGAGTCATTATATTGTACTTATCCTCATAAATTATATCAAATCTTATCTAACATATGAGTTATAACATATAATATTACACCAAAATAACTTATCGTGCTTAGATCCAACATATAGTGAAAATTCACACACACTTATATAACATAAATATTCAAATGTTCAACTTAGTATTCCAAAGATTGAGTTAGGCGAAAAGAAAAATTGGAAAATAGGCACATTTCGCAAACTAAAGAAAAAAATGACACAATTTGACCTCCAACCCGGTACCTTATAGCGGTCGGCCCGGTGGGTGCGTGCGACCCGTTTTCTCACCGGGTTAGGGTCAAATTGGGTCGACCCGTGGGTCAACCCGCGGTTTGACAACCTTGTCCTAACCTCAAACGTATAAACCCCAGACCCGATTCTCTAAACTCAAACCTGAAGTTCAATTAAATAAAAAACAATAATAATTGACCGTTGCGATTGGCCGGAGCTCATCAAAATTCACATAACAGCCAGATCACTTGGAGTATACCAGTCTCAGTCTATATAGTATTTTTCTTTTTGTTGGCTTTCCAACGTTTTTTTTATAATAATTTTTGGATTTGTTGGATTGTTAGATTCCTTGATCCAACAACGAGAAGGATTGGATTT